GGAAGGAAGGTTGGGCAATCCTACTTCCATAGTGATACTGCCTCGGAAACCCAAGGAGGGGTCGCTATGAGTCGGGGCTGACTTGACGGCAAATAACAACAACAACAACCACCCCTGGTAATTTTTACAGCTGGTTGTGTTTAAGTACAACTTAATGTGGCATTTTGTAAAATAAATAAAAGGAAAGAAGAAGTTGTGGGGCCCTTAGTTGGGAGGCTCCTGGCAAACAGATAACTAGGACTAACTAGAATGTTAGCAGAGACAGTGAAAAGGAGGGAGGGGCCGTGTGTGGGAGTCATTCTAGAAAGTCAAATCAAATTCTACATGATCAGTCTCCCAGACTTCTACCACACTCAGAACATCATCTCCTGCCCCTCTTCCCACCTGCTTACTCAGCTCATGCAACTCTGAACTTCTTGCAGTTTCTGGAACAAGCCAATCACTACTTACATCCTCAGGAGCCAGTTTTCTCTTATTTTAACTACTGGAAAAGTCTTCAGTTGCTTCAGGGCTCTGTTCAAATTCTATGTTATGAAAGAATCATTCCATGACAACACATTAAAAATTAGCATTCTGGTCTACCAATTCCATCTACTCAGGTTTATTTTTGGGAGCTCTGGTAACATAGTACCTAAGGTACTTGACTGCTAGCCAGAAGCTGGCTGTTCAAACCCACCAGCCACTGCTTGGAAGGAAGGTTGCGAGATTTACTTCTGTAGTGATACTGCCTGGAAAACACAAGGAGGGGTTGCTATGACTCAGGGCCAACTCGACGGCAAATAACAACAACAACGACAACAAGGTTTATTTTTAAACCTAGCACCATAACACTGATATTTTATTAAATATTTATTTATTTGTATCATACATCTCCCTCTTTCTAGAAGGTCAGCTCCATGAGGGCAATGACTTAATTGTGTTGCCTCTTGTATCCTTAGCATATGAAACGTGCCTGGTACACACCATCAGAGCTCCTGGTACTTAGTAGATACTGAATAAATATTTTTTGGATGAATGAACAGAATACATGCAAAAGTGAAAGAGATGAGGGATCAAAATTATGCCCATATTTAAAATAAAAACAAATTAAGAGGGTAGTGGAGTTATTTACACCAGTGTAAGAGTTTATTCAAGGAGTAGAAGCAGGGGAAGAAATTTTTGGTTTATAATTTCAGGCTTAAGTATATGATGCTGGTGAAACAACCAAGGAAGTACTGTCTAATGGGCAATCTGAAATGTGAAGAGAGATCTGTAATTGAGATAAAGATTTCCAAGTCATCTTTGTAAAGGCGATTCTTGAAGCAATGGAAGTAGAAAAAAGAATGCAAGCAATACTGAGTCTGGATTATAAGACTTGTTAATCAGAATTTCATTTTGGATATTTAATGCTTTAAATATATAAAATTATTTATGTTTTTCTTTTATTTTTTAGCTGGGTTAACAACTTCGGCCATGAAGGTCTTGGACTCTTACTGGATGTGCTAGAAAAGCTTCTGGACAAGAAACAGTAAGAATAAATACTAAAATACAATATTCGCCAGAGTAATTTTTAAGCACGACACAATATTTTAATTTTTTTCTTTCATTTCTTTAGGCAAGAACATATTGACAAGAAGAATCAGTATAAACTTATTCAGTGCCTCAAAGCATTTATGAATAACAAGGTAAGTAATATTTATTTCCACCTTTTTCTTAAAAGGTGAGAATTTGCCTGACACTATGAGCTGTAAATCAGGCAAATTAGTGGTTGCTTATTTTGTTTACAAAAAGGTCTTCCTCTTTATGATGGAAATCATCATAAGTGTCATTTAAAAATTATTTAATATATATTTTGATTAATAAAATATCTATTGGCAGGTTTTTGCAACCATACAAACATAATCATTTTTGTTCCCAAATTAGATAACACTAATATTTTCTAATAATTAGATAACACATTTCTTTTATAGTAATAGGAAAAATTAAAGGTCATATGTTGAGTACTGTTTCCTTACATTGTTGTTGTTGTGTGCCGTCGAGTCAGACCAGACTCATAGTGACCCCTCCTTGGGTTTCTGAAGCGGTATCGCTACTGAAGTAGATTGCCCAACCTTCCTTCTGAGGAGTGGCTAGTGGGTTCAAACCGCCAGACTTTTGGATAGCAGTCAAGTGCCTTTGGCACTATGCTACCAGAGCTCGTTTCCTTATATAGAGTTTTTATTTTATTGTAAAGAAAAATCAAAAGTTATGATTTGATTTGTTTGCTAAGAACATTTTAATGTTAAGATTTCCCTTTTATGTTCAGTTAATGATGGTGAGTTAACATGTGAAAGAAATCTCTACAAGATAGTGTTTTGTGTTGTTTTTTATACATATATGTTTAAAAACAGTTATGCTTTAGTGGCTCTATGAATTTTAAATAAATGTTTTTCTTCTAAAAATAGTCTGTGTTCAGGCATGTGGTTATATTAATTTTGTTCTTTAAACTACTTTTGTTTGAATCTTGAAAATGATTTGCTCAATATACCTATAGGTAACATACTGTTGACCAATTCATTTAATTACTTGAATTCCCTTCAGATTGTGTTTTAAAATACTTGACAGTAATAAATAATTATAACAATAACCAGAAACTTGCCAGTTGTGAAATACAGCTAATAATAACCAGTGCAATAAGATTGTCTATTTAAGTAATCTCTAAATAGTCTTTCTTAAGCATATGGGATTATATATGTACATATCACACACATAGATATCAACAAAGAGTTTTATTGGGAGGTAAAATGGGTTCTTGCTAGTTTATGTAACACTATCCTAGAATATGCTGACTGTGCTGTTCTTGAAAGTTTCTGAGAGAAAGATTCTCATCAGTACTAGCACAGAATTTATCAACTTTTGTGCTTTTATTCCTTGGCTGTAAAGTTATACAGTGTCTGATGCCTAACAACAAAGCACTAAATGAATGTTGCTTCTCCCAAGATCAAGATAGATCTGTTTCTTCAACTGAGGGAAACAATGAAATAATGGGAAGAGAAAAAATATTATAAATCAGAAGATAAGAGTTTTTAGTTCACGCTTTGCCACTAATGAGCTGAATGAACTTTGGAAAATCACTTGACCTCTCTATTAGTTTCCACTTCCCCCATCTTAAAATAAGCCATGGAACCTTTTGTTTGTTTTAAATTCTTACTGACTTGTGTTGTCAGCCTTCATAGCTTTCCATGATACCATGTGACTGTAATCAGAATAGTCATTATAGAAATATATATTGATGAGATTTCCTGTGGGAACTTTCCCCCCGTAGGATATAAGTTGGTATGTTAACACATACTTTCTTATCTCTTAAAAGTTTGACTGTTTTGAAAAAACATAGTGATTCTACTTAGATTATTGTAAACGAAAGTTTTAGTTAGAATATGTTAATGTCTTGCACATAAGGTTTTCAGAATATGAATAAATGGATCTTTTAAATTATAGGCATATGAAACATTGAGCATAAAGCATACATTCAAAATTAAAAACACACAATGACATATCCATTTCATCTTGGAATAAATTGTCCAAATCAAATAATAAAACTTTCCTCTGAAATGATATAAACATTAATTTGTGGGCCCCATGGAGTTTAGATTACCTTCTTCAAAAATGATTTTCCCTTATCTAATGCATGTAAAAATAGGATCATAAAAAGCAGCACATTGTTGATGTGCATTGCTATAATAATTGCTCTGATGTTTGGATTGATGGTTTTCCAGATATATTTCTCATATCTTTATTTTTATCATCAATATGTCTCTACATATTATAAAATGCTTTTACAAATGCATGAAAAATGGAAAATGCAAATTATTTCTCTCTCAATCTAATTGATTTTTAAAGCTATCATTTTAATTTTGGTAGTGGCATAGTAATCCATCTCTTGGTTTCACACATGCATTTATCGCTATTATTCCTTAGTGTTATCTATTGGCCACCTTTTCACATATTTATCCATTTTGTTTTCTTTATACCTTTCTACTCTTTTGTCTTCCATTTCATTTTTCTTTATTTTATTTGGTCTTGTCTCTGTAAATTTCCTTATTTATTATGACCTCTGATAAAGTCATGCTTAAGAGCTTTAGCTGTGTTTTTATTTTTTCTGAGTTCTTTAAGAAGTCATATTAGGAACCATGAGAATACTCGTATTTTTGATTCTTTACTAAAGCTTTACCCTGAAATAGTAATTATGTTCCTATGAAATGTTGTAAGATTTCTCCATTAGACTTTAAAAAGGATATATATCCTTAATGTAGTGAAAACCCAAGTTTTGGACTTTTTTTTTTTTTTAACCTATTTGTTCTTATAATGCACACAAACACACACATATGCACACACACGTGTATATTATTGAATGCAATGAAAATTGTATCCTCTGCCCTACTTTACTGTGTTAGTCAATGTTTCCTTGAGTTCATAGCTTTTGTAGTGAGGCACAGCTGGCTGAAAGACAGGACGATAAGAGAGAAAGTTATGGAAAAATCCAGACAAAAGTTTATTGCTTCTTTAACTCACATTTGTTGTACGAAAGAGCTTTTCAACATTTTACCTTTTTTGTTCAACTTAATTTTATACACAAACATACTGGAGAATTTAACCATGAATTCCAGACATCTCTGGGGAGATCCGATGACATAAGTAGAATTACTTTAGAAAATCATATCGGTATGTGCTTTCCATGTTCTTCTTTGTTGAAGAACTACTGATTGGTCCCATATTTCTCTCAAATCTTTATGGAATTTTTAGAGCAGGCTAATGTAGATTATATCTGATCAAGGGGCAAAAACTCTAACATGCAGTCATTTCAAACAAAAACCAAATATGAATAACAGTCATACAATTAGGTAGAACCTTACTGTGGAGGTATGGGGTTTTGAAAAATCATTTTAAGTTGATTTCTTTAATTAAAGATACAGTCCATAAACATTTTGAATGATGGTTTCTTTTTCTTTCTTTCCTAGTTTGGTTTGCAAAGGATTCTAGGAGATGAAAGAAGTCTTTTACTATTGGCAAGAGCAATTGACCCCAAACAACCCAACATGATGACTGAAATAGTAAAAATACTTTCTGCTATTTGCATTGTTGGAGAAGAGAACATGTAAGTATTGCTATACTATTCTATTAACTGCATGAGAAAATGAGACTTGCAAAATTATAAATCCTAATTTTCTCCTTTTTTTGATGATAACTTGCATGAAACCCAGACATTTTTATTTTGCCTGTTCATATTTTAGGATTTTTGTTGATTTTTTTTTTAAAAAAGGTTTCTACAGATAGAATCCTAATGGAAAATTTTTCAAAGTTCATTTCAAAGGGAATGAATAGTGATTTTAGAGTATTATTTTGGCTAAATACAAAAATACACACATACCACATACATGTACTCCTATGACTTGATTTCTCTAAGTTAATAAATTGCCTAAATACTTTTATTTTGTACTTTTTTTTTAAGAATTAATTTTATTCTATTTGCCTAAGCTAAATGAAAAGATGGAACAATTATTCATACAGTGAAATAAACTAACTTCCTTTTTTAAAGGTTGTTGATAACTACTCAGTGTATGTATGTGCCGGATCCAGCAAGTTGTTGCTGAATATGCATTAGATCATATCTTCTTATGGAAATAATATTGAATAAGAAAGAAATTTCCAGATTTGATGGCATCAATAGTCCCAGTTCTAAGAAACTATTTGGCTAAAAAAAATGGAATGTCAGCTAAGGATCTAAATTGCATTATTTTTCTGATCACTTTGTGAGCAAGTAAGAGTCTCATACCTGTTAACATACAGTGAGATGATGTTTAGTGCTTTCTAGTGTCCTTAGAAAGCAAACAAAAAACAGCAAACGAAAATATCATCCTATAGCATCAAGTCTTTACTCAATGAGAACAGAGAAAGAAATAACATATGGAAAAGTAAAGTTCCCTTAGGTTTTATAGAAAAAATAAGTGTATCCATAAGTAGCTAGTATTTTTCTAGTGAATTAGATTTTTAATACTTAATTCATAAAGTGTAATCTACCCAGTATAATTATTAGGAGCTCTGGTGGCGTAGTGCCTAAGGTATTTGACTGCTAATCAGAAGGCTGGCAGTTCAAACCCACCAGCCACTCCTCAGAAGGAAGGTTGGGCAATCTTCTTCTTTAGTGATATCACCTCAGAAACCCAAGGAAGGGGCCACTATGTGTCGGATTCTACTCGACGGCAGTGAGTGAGTATAATTGTTAAAGAGCCTTGGTGGTGCAGTGGTTACGCTTAGCTGCTAACCGAAAGGTTGGTGCTTTGAACCCACCAGCCTTTCCAAGGGAGAGTGATGAGGCATTCTTCCTCTGTAAAGATTATAGCCTTAGAAGCTCTACAAGGCAGTTCTTCCCTGCCCTATAGGATTGCTCTGAGTTGCAGTCAACATGATGGCAATGAGTATTTTGATGTTTGGTGTAATTGCTGTGATTTAATTATAATTTCAGATACCTTTTGGTAAGAGCTTTATAGTACATAAGGTTAATTTAATTGAGACACTGTATGGTGATAGTTACCAATATTTTTCCTCAAGTAAATAAGTTGCATATGCTAGGTAATTGTAGATGTTTATTTTCTTGGACTCTCTTTAATTATGGATATCACATTATGTTCAAGGTATTAATATGTGAAATACCAAACTTGAAACTATTTCAGTGTTTATCAAGTTATTATACTTTTAAAAATATCACCTAGAAACTTAATTTTCTTCAAAGATTTTTAAGTTGCATTTTTATTTTGATGCTCTAAAATTATTTAAAACAATCAATTGACTCAGAAACATGTGAACAGAAACACAATTCTTAAATTGTAATGGCCAATAAAAGATTAGCCTAGACAATCCTATAGGGAAGTTTTACTTTGCCACATGGGGTCGATAAGAGTCGGAATTGACTTGATAACACCCAACAATAATAACAACATATAAACATCAAGCAGCAGAAAGCAAATAGGAAAGATAACTCATACTTATATTGTGCATGTGATATGTATTTTTTTTCTTTCTTTTTTTCCTCTGCAGTCTAGATAAACTTTTAGGAGCTATAACTACAGCAGCAGAAAGAAATAACAGGGAACGGTTTTCACCAATTGTGGAAGGATTAGAAAATCACGAAGCCTTGCAATTACAGGTGAGCTAGTTTTGTCTAAAATTGTTTCTAAGGTTTTATTTAGAGTACTCATTTTATATGACATCAGCACCATTTTATTTGACATTTAAATAGAATGGAATTTAAAACTAAAATTCTTCCTGTTGCTTGATCATTTATAAAAGCTAGAACTTTGTGAGAATAATAATTTGTATAAAATTAGGCAAAATACTTCTGGGTTATTATAAATGTGTCAATTTTGATTATCATGAATATTTGGACAGAAATTCAATAATGAATGTAAGCAATCAGGGAAACTAAAGCCCTAACAGTCATCAGGACAAAAGATCAAGCAGCTCACCCGATGCCATTATCTTAAAAATATTACTGAAATGAGTGAGGTTGTTGTAGATATTTAAGGTAACTAAATACACTTCTCTTTGTTCCTTTCACACAATCAAAGGTCTAATTCACCAGAATTGAGTGGATTGAATTGCAGCTGTTAAGTCTGAGTACATGTGATAGCTCTGTGTAGACCCAGCCTAAGTGGCTTTTTTATAAGGCAAAACCATCTTTTCTTAAATGGTTTTGGGAAATGAATCATTTTATGGACAACAACTTTGTTCTTGAGGGATGGGAGCTCCTGTTTATTGACCACATTTATGATAGGAACTCTTGGTCTAAACATCTTAATTAACATACATTATCTGATTTAATCTTAACAACAATCCAACTGTGTGGGCACTCATATATCCAGTTTGCTTCTGAGGTGATAAGGCTTGTTGTTCTTGGTGACCATTGAATTGGTTGTGATTTATTGCAAACTCGTGTGTGCAGAGTAGAACTGCTCCATAGTTTTCAAGGCTGAGACCTTTCAGAAGTAGGTCTCCAGGCATATCTTTCAAGGGACCTCTGGATAGATTCGAACCTCCAGTCTTTGAGCTAGTGTTTGGGCACTTAACCATTTGTACAACCCAGGGAGTTGAGCTAATTAGCCCAAGTGAGATTAAATAACTTGTCTTTAGGTGACACACCTTGTAAGTGGTAGAGTTAGAAGGTAACCCTAGGGTTTTTGGTCTGATGCTCATCTCTTTCTTTTAGACATTGTTTGCCTTTTAATATACCAAAGAAAACCCTCTCTGAAATATTTTAAAGTATTTTTATGTCAATACATATGTAACAGGGAGTTCTGGTGGCGTAGTGGCTAAGGCACTTCACTGCTAACCAGAAGGCTGGTGGTTCAAACCCACCAGCCACCCCTCAGAAGGAAGGTTGGGCAATCTACTTCCATAGTGATACCGCCTCCGAAACCCAAGGACAGGTCACTGTGAGTCAGATTCGACTCAACGGCAGTGCATTGCATTTGCCTATATATGTAACATGTATTATATTTTATATTAAATATATGTAATCTTTTTAAACTCTTGTTTAACAAAGAAAAGATGGTTCGTTATTCTATCAAATTATTTAGTAGTGAGTGTTTAAATATTCAAATTCCTTATCTTGATGTATTGCTTTTGTTAGTTTTTGTCATATTACTAAGTATTGGGATCGGATCCCACCCCTTCCACTCCACCCAGAGTTTCAAACTATAGCAGAGAGATGAATAGGCTTGTCCAAAGAGAATTTGTAGTGTTAAAAAAAATATAATACCCTTCCAAATATTTAAAGATCTTTGTTAATCATTACTTCTATTTCAATTATAATGAGCATTCTTAAAAAACTTTTATGATGTGCGTTTTATGTCAAAGTAATAGCATTTTTTTTTAAAAAAAATTGCATAGATCCTTCCAGGGCTTTCATTTTCATAATATACTTGTTACAAAATTTATCTCAATGAAATATAATATTTGTGCTGAAAGGTTTGAGAACTTCTTTTCTTTCTTTCTTTTTTTTTTTTAAGGAAGCCTTTTTGAAAGTTTTGTTCTTGTTCCTATGATTGATTGACATTCAGACATACACACAAGTTTGTGCTTCCCTTGTGACATTTGTTTAGCAAGACATAAAAGTTTTGATTGCTATTGTTTTGGTTACCTAGTGCTGCTCTAATAGGAAATACCACAGATGGGATAGCTTTAAGAAACAGGAGTTTATTCTCTTACAGTTTTGCAGGCTAGAAGTCTGAGTTCAAATTGCTGGGCTCTAGGGGCTGTGTGAAAGCCCCACAACCTTAGGTTTCAGCACTGCTTCTTGCTCCCAGCCCTCTGAAGCTAGAGGCATCTCTTCACTCAGGGAGCTGCTGGCTGCTGAGGCTAACAAGCCCAAGGGCAAAAAGTGAAAAGGCACTGTCTCGCTATTACCAAACCATGTGTCAGGGCATTGATTCAAGTCCATTAAAAGTCCCAAGATCGGCAGAGCATGGCAGGCTTTTGAGTGAAAACTCAGCTATATGCAGTGTTCAAGAGAGCCAAAAAGGTGTATTCCATTCCCAAAGCTTCTCCTTATATGCAGGAAGCAGACCATATCCCTAAAGCAGCTGCTTAGCTGCTTGCTGCAGATGCCACCATGGAGTTGATTGCCAGTCACATCATGAGAAATAACTACCACCAGCTGCCCAGTCACTCATAACTGGGCCCAGCCAAGTTGACACATAACCTTAACTACCACAGCTATAATAGTATTCATCACATTTTATACATGGTTTTCCATACTTGGGCCAAGCCCTTTTACATATTTGAAAATTCTTAGACAAATTTGATTTTTAAGCACAGCTCTGTGAGTTAGATATTATCTCCAATTTATGATCAGGAAGCTGAGCTGGGAGGCTAAGTAAATCAGTATACACAGCTAGTATGTGATAGAGCTGTGATTTGAACCAGGTTTTTGTGATGCCATCATTTGTATTTTTAAAAGAGAAACCACTATCAAATACCAGTTCACTCCAAATAGTTAGATGGGATTGGCAATGTGCTAGCATTAATGAAGCTGGATTGAATGGAGTGATAAAGCGGTAAGTTGTTAATGAATAACATATGGGAAGAGTCATAGACATCTTGCAGGTATTCAAGAAATTGTTGAATACTGATTGTAGATGAAACCACAATTTGAAATTTCCTATTTTAATGAACTACAAAAATTAGTACCTTGTGAGCTTATTTAGTTGGACTACCTAACATGATTGAACATAAAAAAATATGGAAAAGTTCAAAAAACATATTCTGAATACAAAAATGAAAAAGAAAAGTTTAAATCTGTTGTTAAAAATATATAATTAGTGCTGTATTTTAACAGAATCACTTTTTCTATTTTTGTAGTATCTTGAGACTTCTCAAAATGTTATTACAGCCTCAGGAAGTAATTCTGTTAAAATACAGCACTAATTATATTTTTAAATAACAACTATATACTTTTTTACCCTATTTTTTGGATTTCAAAACAGATCATTAACTTCTTACATAATTTTTTCTAGTTCATCTTTAAAATGAAATTTTTTTCCTGTGATACAATTTTCATTATCTTCAGTAGTTTAAGAAATAGATAGAAACTAAATCATGTATCTTCATCTGATCTCTATTAACTTCCCTTCAGCTTAGTAGCAGTCTCTAGTCTCCTCTGTGCTACAGTACCTTCTTCGCATCCTACTTATACCTAAAACTAGCTTCTGATAGCCCTCTTTTATTTAGTAGTCCAAGTCTCTAAATAATCTACTATACTTTTTTTCTCTGCTTCATAAATTACCTTTCACAATTCTACTGTCTCACAATTCTCAGAAAGGTTGACAAAGATCCTTTAATTTCAAAATCCTACTGCCTCTATCCAATCGTGATCACTTGGCTCAATTGATCACCTCCGTCCTTAACAATTTTACTTTCCTTAGATTTCCAGGCACCATTCTCTATTCAGGGGCTCTGGTAGCATAGTGCCTAAGGCACTTGACTGCTAACCAGAAGGCTGGCAGTTCAAACCCACCAGCCACTACTTGGAAGGACAGTTGGGCAAGCTACTTCCATAGTGATACTGCCTCGGCAACCCAAGGAGGGATCGCTATGAGTAGAGTCTGACTCAAGGGCACATAACAACAACAACAACAACAACAACAACATTCTTTATATGTTCTCTGACTACCTCTGTTTCTCTTCTGCCATCTTAATATGTTGCTTCTCTTCTTACTTCTTGGGTATTTTGTTTATTTGGTTCTATCCTTAGTCCTCTTCTATTGTCATTTTATGTACTTATGTACCTGAATCTATATATATGTATTCATATACATATAACCATGTGTATGTATATGAGTGTTCTCAATTGCTACTCTAGCTTCAACCTCCAACTCTGTTCTAATGATTCCCCAGATTTATAAATCCAGCCCATATGCTTTTCTCTATTGAAATGCATTCCAAATGCCTAACTAGATGTCTTATCCAAAAAAAAAAAAAAACTATTGCCACCAAGTCAATCCTCATAGAGACCCTATAGGACAGACTAGAAGTGCCCCTCAGGGTTCCCAAGGCTATAAATCTTTCTATAAGCAAACTGACACATCTTTCTCCAGCAGAGTGGTTGGTGGTTTTAAACCACCCACCTTTCGGTTAGCAGCCGAGCACTTGACCACTGCTCCACCAGTGCTCCTTAGATGTCTGGTAACCATTTTAAAAACAGGAAAATAAAAATAGCATTTATAAGCCATAGACAAAGCAATGTTCTAAATGTCAACTTATTTAAACCTCATAGCAGTTCTATGAGGGATAGAGTAGTAGTATCCTCATTTTATAGATGAGAAAACTGAAGCTCAGAGAAAATTAACTACTTTTCTAGAGTCACAAAGCAGATGGGAGGCATAGCCTAGATTTTGTACCAGGCAATCTGGCTCCAAAGAATATGCTCTTAACCACTATACTGTGCCTCTTCTTATATTAAAGCTAGGTGATTACCTCTTTTCCTTAATCCAATTTCCCCAAAATAAGTCTACTTTTTTCCTATGTTTCCCAATTTAGATTATCTTTTTAAGGGTATCACCTTTTACCCAATCTCCAATTTTCCTTATGGCTTCATTCTTTTTCCTCTGAACCCAATGAACCACTAAGTGTTATTGATTAGTTTTTAGT